ACGTGCCAGGACCCCTGCTGCCAAGGTGTCACCAAATGCGTCACCACGTGCCAAGATCCTTGCTGTGCCACCAGATGTGTTGATCCTTGTTGCCAGGGGGTCGCCAAATGTGTCACCACGTGCCAGGACCCCTGCTGCCAGGATGTCACCAAATGTGTCACCACCTGCCAAGATCCTTGCTGTGCCACCAGATGTGCCACCAGATGTGTCGATCCCTGCTGCCAGGGCGTGACCACGTGCCAGGACCCCTGCTGCCAGGACGTCACCAAATGCGTCACCACGTGCCAGGACCCGTGCTGTGTCCCCAGCTGTGTCCCCAGCTGTGTCCCCAGCTGTGCCCCTCCGTGTGCCGACCCCTGCCGTGCCACCCCGCAGTGCCGCGGCGGCGCCCAGGTTGTCACCAGGTGCGCCGACTCCTGCGCCACCACCTGCGTCACCCAGACCTGCCCCGTGTGCGGCCAGCGCTGCTCCGTGTCCTGCTCTCCCAAATTCCGGGCTCCCTGAGGGGATCCGGGTTGGGATCCGAAGGATTCTCCAAAGGAAGAGCAAATCCTCGTTTTTTTGTTTTTTTTTTTTTTCCTCGCCTTCTGCCTCCTCCCTGCTGTCGTGACCCTCAAGAAAGCGCCTTTCCTCTCGGGATGTAACCGAGCGATTTTGTGCCCCCGGGGTTGTTCCCTGGGAGAAAGAATTCCGCAGTTCCCCCCAGCGCTGGGAATGCGGGTGGGGGGAATTCCCCTGATCCTTTTCCTTTCCCTTTTCTCAAGCAATAAAAAAAATAAAAAGAAACGATTTCGGCATTCCTTCGCTTCCCGCCCTTTATCCTCTTAATTCTTTCCCGAAAATCTTGATTTTTTTTGTTAAAAAAAAAAAAAAATCTTGGGGAAGTCTCACTGGGATCGTGGAGGTGGAAGGGACACACAGGGGTCATCAAATCCAAGTCCAAGGACATCCCAAAATCCCACCGTGTCCCTGGGAGCGTTGTCGAGCTCTGGGGGATTTGGGATGGCGACCATTCAATGGGGTCAAGGCTCCCATGTTATGGTGGGAAGAATTTTTCCCGAAATCCGCCCCAATTCCCAACCCCTGGCACGTCTCCAGCCCTTCCTCAATCCTCACGCTGGCCTGAAATCCCAGAGAAATGATGAAATCCCAGATAAACGTCTGAAATCCCATAAAAATGTCTGAAATCCCAGATAAACCTCTGATATCCCAGCTAAACGCCTGAAACCCCAAATAAATTCCTGAAATCCCAAATAAACACCCGAAATCCCCAATAAACACCTGAAATCCCAGCTCATTCCCACGGGCTGCAAGAACCACCCGGAAACCCCAACAAATGGAATTTTCCAAGCGTTCCCCCATCCCTTCCATCGCCCCCTTCTCCATCCTAAATCCCCAAATGGGGCTCGGGACCATCTCGGGACACTCCCGCGGTTGAGCCGGGCCTGGGCAGGGTTTGGAGGAGCAAATCCCGGTTGGAATGCGGGCGGGAGGAGCGGGGGTGGCGGCAGACGGGGTGGGACCGTCTGGGAGAAGCCACCGGCTCCTCCAAAGATGCCCCAAGGCCCGGGCTTGGTGAACTCTCAGAGCTCCTCTGGGTTTTCATCGTGCTCCAAAACTCCCCTAAAATTCCGTAAAAATTCCCTGCAAGCGACGATTTCTTTCCCTCCCGCTCCCCAATCCCGCGGTTTTCTGGGAAATAAAAATGTTGGCGGGGAAAAAAATTTGGTTTTTTGGATTGATTTTTTTCCCATTTCTGGCAGGGTGTTTAATCCTTCACGTGTCCATAAAATTCAGATTTAAATCATCTCGGAGCAGCAGAGAGCAGAAAAAACAATTCCAGAAAAAAAAAAACAAACCACGGATGGGAATTCTTCCTGCATGACCAGCTGGATGTTTATTCCACACCTGTGGAATTAAAAATCGCTGCTCACTACAAGAAAATGTTGTAGAATCCCCCTGGTTCCTCTGTCAGGTGAAGTTCTCTGAGCTCTAAAATTTCCACTGAGATCAAAACAATTTTATCCACTAAATTAAAAAGAAATTCGGATGAAATTCAGTTTTTTTCCTGAAAGAAACTGAGAAAAATCAAAGCGAAGAAGGCAAAGAGGTAAAAGAGGTGAGGATTAATTTTTTTTTTTTTTCCTCTAACCACAGCCAGTTCCTCCTTCCCAGATTTAATTAGTCAGGTGCTAATTGTCATTCCTCCCTGAGCTCTCACCTTCCGGAGTAAACAGGAAAAGAGGCCGGAACGGTGGGATTTGGGTTCCTCTGGAAACGAGGATGTCATGGCTGGATCCAAATTGTCCCCAAATTGTCCCTCGGGCATGGCCTGAAGGAGCCACTCATGCCCATGTGAGGCTTGGTGGCCTCTCCTCTCACCCTCCTGGCATCCCAAAAATTCCAGGATTCCCGGAGCCACCTGGAGCCTCCCTCCTTCCCCGGGACCGTGTGGGAACGAGGGGAGGGGAAAGTTGGGTTTGATGGAAGCCCTGGAGGTTTAATTGTGACCGAGCGTGGAGGCTTGGGGCTGGAAAATTGGGAGAATCCTTGATTTCTGTGAGAATTAAATGAAAATAAAAACATGGGGGAAAAAAAAATTCATTTTCTCGCTCGGGAAAACGGGAATTCTGCACTGGGTTGGAGAGGTTGGGCCTCGACCTCGTGTCCAGTTCTGGGCAATCGTGGAAAAGGGACGTGGAGGGGGCCAAGGATGGGAAATCCAGGGATGGGAACGGGGCTGGAAAAAGGTCTGGAAAATCCTGAGTGAGCTGAGGGGGGCTCAAGCTGGAGAAATTGGGATCCAGGGGGGAATTTTGGGACCTTCCAGGGAAAATTTAGGATCTGATCCCAGGGAATGGGGACAGGACAAGAGGGAACGGCCTCGAGCTGCGCCAGGGTGGGAAATTTGGGATGATTTTTCCATGGAAAAAGGGTTGGGAAACATTGGAAGAGGCACAGGGAGGGTTGGATCCCCATCCCTGGAGGGGTCTGAGGAATTCCTGGAATTCTGGGGATGGGGCACAGCTTGGACTCGATTCTCTGGGCGATCTTCCCCAACCTCAGGGATTTTGGGATCCTGGAAAATCTTTGGCCGTTCAGCACGAGACAAGACCCCAGCCCCGGAGCTGGAGCTGCTGCCCCGGCGGAATTCCCTCATGGAATTCCCTGCGGAACGAGAATCACCGGAGCCGCCGCGGGACGTGGCCGTGGGCTCCTGACTCAACTCCAGCTGCCCATAAGTGCAATGGAGATTCCCAAATGAGTGCTAATTAGGGATAACGAGCCGGCCCCGTGACCTTCCCGCGTGTCGGGAGCGCGGCTCCGTTGACGTCTCCCGAAATAAATCCACTTTTGGAAGGCCCCAATTTGGAGCAGATCAGAGTTAACCACGGGGTGTGAAGGAACTCGGGGTACCAAGGGAGGTGCAGGACCGGCCCTCAGAGATGGTTTTGAGGTGAGCCTGGAGCCTGAGGAGCTGTTCCAACCGGAATTTGGGATATTCCTCGGGGAGATAAGAGTTGGAAGTTGCTCTGGGGAGGATCAAGGGGGGAATTTCCACACCTGGCAGCTCGAGGAGCAAAAAATCGGGAGGGATTCACCTGATTTAAAACTCAACTCCCAAACCCCGAGCTCTGCTGGGTGCAGCCTCTCCTCCCACGACAAAAAAAAAAAACAAAAAACCAACGAGCAAATCACGCTCCATGAATCCAAATTTATCCCTGGAAAAGAGCCCCGGGGCAGAGGAGCCTCGGGACAGGGGGGAGAAGCCACACGTGAGGAGCTGAGTGTGTGGAAAAGCTGAGCCACCTGTGAGGTGGCAAAAAACCCGTGGGGATCTGTCAGCTCCGGGTGGAATTCCCAGTGCCCGGTGCTGGAATTCTCCAGGACGTGCTGGTCGTGCTGGGTTGGTTGGTTTGGGGTTG